CACTACCAAGCAGTTTGATTGTTCAAGTCATTAAAGGCGCATACGATTGGACCAAATCTTGATAACACTTGCTTTAGCTAAAAAGGTGAGTGAATTAAAGGAAGATGGAAGAAGACGGGGTTAGGCATTACGTTCCACTGCTGGTGATGCAAATGATGGCCTTGGCCACGCAGCGCAAAGAGGCCTCGACCGCAGCGATAGCCGTCGAGAGGGTCGTGTCCGCGGGCACTTTAATTATTCTTCGCAGGTCATTGTAGAGTTCAGTGTGACCGATCACCGACTCCGCTTCCCGACAGATTTTCGCCATCGTTCGCACACATTCCACTGGATACTTTCCTTTGGCGGATTCACCTTAAAATATGATTAATCAAAATGCCTAGGAGCTGTGTAAGTAGTAAATTATCAGTTCCACTATCTATCTTGTTTTATTATAGTCTTTACTTCTGACCAAATACACCTTCCATTGCCTTATATGCCTACCCGAAAGCATGACACAGTCTGCTCCATCCAGAACGGCGTTAGCAACGTCGCCCGACTCCGCTCGTGTGGCACGGGGCTTGTAGGTCATTGATTCGAGCATTTGTGTTGCACAGATACAGGGTTTTCCTGCAATATTACACCGAGCAATAGCCATCTTTTGCACCAAAAACACCTTCTCTGAAGGTATTTCGATACCCAAGTCACCTCGAGCTACCATTATCCCGTCAGCGGCTTCAATTATTTCGTCAATGCTACAAACGAACAGAAGCAATAATAATGGACATGTGACAAACTTTTGGTTTTCTTATAATTCTCTATCCTATTTATGAGGACGATTACTTCCTCATTTATATTACTTGATGTAAATTTTAATACACCTTGTTTATCAGATGACCCGATCAATAATTTTTCTGAAGCACATAAATGCTAGGGCTTTAATAATCAACTGGAGGCCTCTGTAATAGGCACACCAGGATGCTCGTCAAGTGTAACCTAATTAAGCAACGCCAGATTACCAGAATATAATAATGTGCCATTTAATCACATTTAAGAGTAAGAATAAATCAAATTTAAATCAAATATGGAAAAGCTCTGCGAAGTGATGGAGAAACGTTAGATTATTATTACGCTGGTTTATACGAAAAGGTAGTCAGTGATAAGAACTATTTACGACCCTTATATTTTTAAATTGCAAGCCTTACTTCTCAACCCCTTGATAGTTTTCTATTTTGGCAATGATCTTGATGTGAGCTCCACGTTCACCGAGCAACTCTCGCATGTCATGAATGCACTTTGCATCACGAATAAAGGATGCAAATATTATATCCAACTACAAGGCATTGAATTTTTAGTAGATGCACGTATAAGCTACTGAAGAAATAAAAGTAGAATGAGGTTTCCATACATTATTATCAACGGCGAACAGGATGTCTTGCTTGTCCTTTTCAGACATAGAGGGAAGGTCAACTGGCGCACCAGGAAGATTCACGCCTTTTTTTGAACCGAGTCGCCCACCATTCTCAATAACGCAGTCAAGATACTGAGGACCTAATTCATCATTTTCTGATTATACATGAATTTGTATTTCGATTTATTTTAATTAGATCCAAGTGTTCATAAAATAAAATGTATTCGTGAACTTTATCGCTTGGATTGAGAATTGTTGGCAACACGGCAATACGTATGTAAGCACATGAATTTACAAGTTTGCTTGACATTATTAAGCAATCAATATTCAGAAGTCGTTTACATTAGTAGCATTTTGAAAAGGCACCTTTTTCCTTAACTCTGATGCAAATAAGGCCGTCGTCGATGTAAATTGGCGAGTCTACATTTAGAATATTCACTATGTTGG